TATATACAAACTTTAAATTTGACATGGATCTAAGATTTGGAGCAATGTTTAAATTTGTAGGAGACATTGTAGAGAGGAAATTAAATCTAACCGTCCGCTTTGCAGGATGAGAGAGCGACAGCCAAGATCACAAAAGCCACCAAGCAGCCGAGGGCCATTGTGTTATTTTTCTTGGAAATGATTGCCATCACAAGATCAGGCTATAGTGTTTTGTTCTCCTGATGATTTGATAAGCTACTTCTATGACCTTCACTGTTGCCGGTGTTCATATAGGGGTACAATAACCCACCATAAATGACATATATTAATGCAAACATTATCTTACTCATATCCCTTGCATTTATGCTGAGGAATTTATTAGCTGTTTATTTTATAAGATTTGATGTTTTGAAAGCCAGCACTGCAGCAAGGTCGGTGTTGCTGCCATTGTTCTTGCTCGGAACTGGAGAAGAAGCAGAAGTCACACTGAACAAAACAATAAGCACAACAGATATCCACACTGGCAATTTAAGCGCCATGTCTGAGCTCTTATGCATTGGTAAGACAGGAATCATCTGCTTGAGGTTAATTTATATATTTAGCTCTCCGTTCCATTGTGCATGAAGGCACCTGGTTCTTCTGTCTACATCCAAGACCTTCACTATTGGGTCAACAATGTAATTTCCACCCAAGAAAAGTGAATATTAGATGTGCTAGCTTGCCTAACCATGCATGCATGTTTTATTAGCAAGTTGCTTAGCTCCTTTCCTTTGACTAGCTCATTGTTTACACTCTTCCTAGATTATCTTTTCTTTTCTTCTGTTTCTGTATGATCCTTGTTTTGGGCTTTCTTTGATTTTAGAAAATGCTGGTACTGGCTCTGAATGGAATTGGAACAGCCAGTCAAATTGTTCTCTTCACTCGAGATCACTTGCAGCACCGGACGACTGACTTGTGTTGCCTGAGATTGAAGCTGTCCATGGCGATTAAAGTTGTGGCTACTGGCAGGCAGGTAACCTTGACCTTTCTTGCTTTCTTATAACTTGCATTCTCTTATTTTTACTAGTTCATTTCACTTTTATGACTGCAAACTTCATAGGCAAAACATTGAACGCTTTGCAAATAGGGAACAGAGAGAATGAGCAGAGCAGAGATGACAAATTACAAAAACACAGAAAGTGAGGCAATAGAGATTAGCATATTGATCAGATAATAAATAAAGAAATTCACTAGGAAATTACAGGCAAAGAGCCATAGACTGCTGTTCAGGTGTAATCCCACCAGCACTGCTGCTCAAATTAACTATTGTGAGTCACTCTACAGGAAAACACAAAATTTGTACCCACGGAAATCTGTTCAACGAGAAAGCTCCACAGGAAAGAAAAGCTATAAATTTAAGATTGTGTGGTTTTGACAGTGAAATCCTGTAAATGAATTCTTCACTCTACTCCATCTATCCATCTATCTATCTATCTATCTATCTATCTATCTATCTATCTATCTATCTATCTATCTATTATATTATTAAAATAACCTTGAAAAAAAGCACCACATTCACTGTGGTGGCTAGAAATTCCTACAATAATCGAAGAAAAAGAAAAGAAGAGTCCAAATATAAATACAATCAAAAGATAGCTGAAATTCGGAATTAAAAATAAGTAATATTGAAAGAAGAGTCTTTATAGGAACCCAATACGAGATTAATCAAAATTTGGATTAAAAATAAAATAAAATCTAAAATTAGAAAAAAAAAGTCTCCAATAGGAATACAATTTAAAAATAACTGAAACTCGGAATTAAAAATAAGGAATATTGAAAGAAGAGTCCATACAAGAACCCAATACGAGATTAATTAAAATTCGGAATAAAGATAAAATAAAATCCGAAATTAGAAAAATAAAATAAAATAAGAGTTCACGTAGGAATATAATTTAAAAATAACTAAAATTCGAGATTAAAAATAAGCAATATTGAAAAAAAGATACCAAGTAAGAAACCAATACGATATTAATTAAAATTTAAAATAAAAAATTAAATAAAATAAAAAATTACAAATAATAAAAAAGAGAGTTCAAGTAGAAATACAATTTTGAAACAATTGAAATTAGAAATAAAAAATTGATTAAATTTCACAAAACTACAGATACTTTGACCAAATTATCGCAAAACTACGGATTTAACATGATATATCACAAAACTACAGATTTAACACTAATTTTATCACAAAACTACAATTTAAGGTAAAATATCGCAAAACTACAAATTTAGAACAAAGTTACCACAAACATATAGGTTTAATGTCAATTTAATCATAAAACTTGGATATTTATAACTCAAACATTACATTAGTGCAAAGGATTTAAATCCTAAAATCTGTAGTTTTATGATAATTTTATTCTAAAATATGTAGTTTTGTGATAGTTAGTTTTAAACCTGTAGTTTTGTAATAAATTTGTTGCTAAATCTGTAATTCTATGATATACGACCTTAAATATGTAGTTTTACGATAATTTGGTCAAAGTATATGTAGTTTTGTGAAATTTACTCTAAAAAATTTAGAAATATTAAAAAAATAGTCTAGATAGAATAAATTCGAAATAGAAAATAAAATAAATTCAAAAATAAAAAAAGAAAAATAAGAGCTCAACTAGAATACAATTTATAAATAACTAAAATTTTTAATAAAAAAATAAAGACTATTGAAATAAGAGATAATCTAGAACACATGACGAGATTAATTAAAGTTCGAAATAACAAATAAAATAAATTTCAATAATATAAAAAATTATAAGAGTTCAAGTAGGAATATAATTTATGAATAAAAATTATCGGGATGACAAATTATGCAATTTTTAAAGGTTCCGAGGAGAATAAATAGAAACAGTGGTAGAACGTGCAAGCAAATAAATAAGGATATAACAGAAATATATGGGGTAGCAACTAGTGACTGTTAAAAACTATAAAATTAGAAACACTAGGATGATGAGGTTTTTTCTTTCAAAGTCTTAAAAACAACGAGACAACTATTTAATAAAATTTAAGTAAAATTATATTAAAAAATATATAATTTTATATAGGTGCTAGCCGCGCAATTGTGCGGGCCGCCCAGCTAGTTAACTTACTAAAGGAATAGAAAAAGGAGTCTCAACGTTCGCTCTCACGGCCTAGAAATTCTTATATTAATCGGAGAAAAAGAAAAACAGAGTCCATATAGAAATACATTTAGAAATTGTTGAAATTCGGAGCTAAAAAATTACTTCTTCCATTTCATAACGTAAGTCATAATGACTTACATTATGAAACAGAGAGAGTAGGAATACTAGAAGAGGAGACCAGAGTCCATATAGAAATACAATTTAGAAATAACTGAAATTCGAAATTAAAAAATAAAGAATATTAGAAGAAGAGTATAGAGTCCATATAGAAATACAATTAAGAAATAATAGAAATTCAGAATTAAAAATAAGGAATATTAGAAGTAGAATATAAAGTCCATATAGGATTTTAAAACTAACTAAAATTCAGAATAAAAATAATAAAATTAAAAGTAGAGTTAGAGTCCATATAAAAATACAATTTACAAACAACTAAAATTCGAAATTAAAAGTAGAGTTAGATTCTAAAGTCAATATAGAAATACAATTTAGATGTAACTAAAATTCGAAATTAAAAATTAAAGAATATTAAAAGATGAGTTTAGAGTCCACATAGAAATACAATTAGAAATAATAAAAATTCAGAATCAAAAATAAATAATATTGGAATAAGAGCTTAGAGTCTATATAAAAATACAATTTACACATAACGAAAATTCGGAATTAAAAAATAAAAAATATTGAAATAAGAGTCTAGAGTCCATATAGCAATATAATTTAGAAATAACTAAAATTTGATATTAAAAATAATTAATAACTAACACGATATAAAATAAAATATGAATATTACACATTAAAGTTAGTACAAAATTTAAAATTGTGTTGTCATTTTAATATATTTTAATAATAAATTGAGAAAACATATATGCTATTATATGAGATAAAATATAATGATGCTAGCCGCGTAATCCGCGCGGGCCACCATGCTAGTTACTATTAATAATAGCAAGAAATTAGAGCCTTCCAGCCTTTCATGATAGTAACAAAGTTTGCAGCTCACAATTGAAAATAACTGATAAGACTAGAAGTACTTCACTGATGCTCAATACTCGGAGGTTTTAATAGCTCAAAGGAGTTAGTTTTTCAGTTCTTAAAATATTATAGAAAAGATATATAGAAACCTTGAAACTGGTGGTCATTTGGAAGTTATATAAGTCAAATCATAGTAAAATTCCACGAGAGAGAAGCAATCAAGATATGCACTACTAGGTAGGGTATATAACTTTACTGCATTCAGATATCATCATCACCTAAAAAAAATTATCATCAGAGAAGGATATTTTTTACTTTTAGCAGCTTGTGAGGAACCTGACTGCAACCAGAAAATGAAGCAGGGAATATAAGCAACATCGATCGCATTTTCAGGATAACAACATGCACTCACACCCACAGATTTATACAGATACAGCAGCAACACAAGAATAAACCTTCAAATCAGTAGTGGATTCCTCGGACGGGAGGGCCCGAGTGGCTGCGTGCATCAACGACCAGCAATCGAAGCTGCTAAGTTGCTTCACTCTCTGAAGAAGGATTACAAGGTAAATGATCTCTGCGAACTCCTTGAAAATGTATTCTGATTTGAACCATCTCCTACTTCACATCCTAGTAGTTAAGTAGTTATGTAGTTGGTATGGGTACTTCACTTATCTATCTACCTATTGCTTGATTGATTCCACTAGCTATCAGTATTCTTCCGGACTGTTGCCCACTCGTAGATTTTGGTATCATCGACCTGGCCTAAATAATGACTACAATGTTATAAATCAAACATTCTGCAAATTGAAAAACTGATAATGATTAGTTTTGATATTTTAAAATCATAAGACAATGAGAGGGCTATTTAACAAATTTTTAAGACAATCATGTCAAAAAGATAGAAAATTTTGTATAGGTGCTAGCCGTACAATTACGTGGGCCACCTAGCTATTTAGCTACGATATCAATGTACAAAACCTTGGTTAAAAGAACTTACAAAGTTCAACATATTACTAGCTATGATACCAACGTACAAAACCTTAGTTAAAAGAACTTACAAAGTTCAACGTATTATTAGCTGTGATAGCAACATACAAATCTTTAGTTAAACATCTAAAAACAACACAATATATAAATCTTACAAACAGAATTATTTCATCTTATAATGCAAAGTATACCATCAGCGCAAAGTAGTGCAATATATAGCTTCACACTGAAAGGCAACTATGTTGTCGTAAGCGTTGTTGTGGTGATGCAATAATCATCAACTTTGATAACAACTCATATGCCCTTGAATTTGCATCCATTCCTTTCTCACCAAATGAAGGTGCTCCAAAACATGCTTCATGGTAGGCCTCTCATCCACGTCTTCCTTCAAAGATTGAACTGCGATCCTACCAATCATGTGAAGACAGTCCATGACTTCAGGTGACGTGATATCATCATCGAGCATCTCTCTTGCCTGGCTATCCGTCATGTAAGATTTAACAAAGTTTATTGGGAGGCTATTGTTTCCATCATACCTTGCCTTTTTTCTTGTGATTAGTTCTAAGAGCACAACCCCAAAGCTATACACGTCACTCTTCTCTGTAAGTATCCCTGTTTTCATATACACAGGATCTATGTAGTTTATATCCCCTACGACGAAGTTAGTGTGGTTCTTCTCTATAGATATGAGTCTAGATATTCCAAAGTCTGAGACTTTTGGCTTGAAGTCATCATCTAGGAGAATGTTGCTGGACTTGACATCTCCATGAAGTATCTTCTGACTAGCAGATGAATGCATGTAAGCTAGAGCTTCTGCAGATTCAATAGCAATTTCTAGACGTACTTGTAATGTGAGATTATATTTTGCAACGTGATTGCCATTACCATGAAGCACATCGTGCAGGCTTCCTTTTGGTATGTACGCGGAGACCAGCATTGGGACATTTGTCTCCAAACAACAACCCACAAGTCTAACCACGTTCTTATGATTGATTTGAGATTGAATTGTAACCTCATTAGCAAAATCCTTTTTGCGTGCCTCATCATCAACTGCAATGGAGCGCTTCACCGCAACTTGCTGGTTGTCATTAGTAGTTCCCTTGTACACCTCACCGAAGCCACCCTTTCCAAGAATGATACTATAATTGTTTGTGATTTTGCCTACCTCCTCCTTTGTGAATATCTTAATACCTATGTTTTTGAGAAGTTGACCACCATTTTTGTTGAAATGATCTCTAAGCTTCCTCTTCTCATATTCCATGCGCAAGAAAATGAGTACGATGGACGAAATTGCGATGGCACATATTGTTGCTGAAAACAAATGGTGTTTCTAATTAATTAAGATGTTACTAACAATTAATAGAGTAAAAAAACTATATGTAACATGTAACCTTTTATACATTATACTATGTACGTCCTTTGTCTCAGAACAAATAAATCTAGTAATTAAAGTCTATTGAGATCCATAATATTAGAATGTGTCACATATCATAGGAGTAATAGGTTTATTTGATTTGGGAGGGGGGAGAGTAGTTAGGATGTGTCTTACCGATCAGCGCTGTAGCTGATTTGGATAGTACTGGTTGACAGGAATTGTTGTTTTTTCTATCTTTTCTTCGCCCAAAGTTGCATTTACATTTGTAGCCACCTTCTAGGTTATGGCATGTCCCACCAGGGCAAGGATTCTCTTTATAAGTGGATGGATCACACTCATTAATATCTGTATAGTTGAAAATGTGTGGACATTAAACATAAGCAATTTAAAAGATATATTATTTTCTGCTATATATGATACAAATACAAAATAAAAAGGATCTTGTTTCCTATAATTCACACCGATCGGGACAAAGGAGCAGGCACGCGGACTTTGGCCGAGGCCGGGACCGGCGAGGCGTGCATGCAAATTAACAATGATTTCGGAAACGGATGGCGGGCAAAAATCGTATGCGACGATTGGAAAATTGTTCATTTTTAAATGAGCAATTCTACGGTTCTTCAGGAGGTATAAATTTTGGTACCTCATGAGGTACCAAATTTACAATAGAAAAAATGGTACTTCATGGTACCTTCTAAAGGACCGTAAAATTGCTCTTTTTAAATAGTTAAGACTAAGATATGAACGTACCTATGCATCCTTCGGGGAGATAAGGATTGCCATGATATCCATCGGAGCAATTACAGAGGTACCCGTGTCCGTTGTTGGTGACGTTGACGCAGTAGCTGTGGCTGCTCACGCAAGCACCGTAAGGCACAACCGGGTTTGCCATCTTGCCAGACTCGTGCGGGCATGAAGACCCGTTACTCCTGATAGCCCAGTCCAGCACCAAAGGAATGCCTTTTTTGTCAAAGTAGTTGGCATTGCCAACGAGGTCCTCCCGCTTGAAGGAGTACCTGCAGCATATATATGCATGTAACATAAGTACAACATAATCATAAGAACTTCCATTTATTTATTTTTTGGAAAAATTATTAAATAGTCACAACTGTACGTATCATAGGATTTTAAAATTTTGAACATTATCATCACTAGGGTTCACATTTTCGGTTTACCCAATTTGATCAGAGGTCACCAAAATTCCGGAAATTTCGGTCCGAAATTTTGAACAAAATTTAGTTGAATTTGAACAAATATTACCAAAATTCATGAAAAAAATGAAAAATTTTGGCCGAAGTAATATCGTATCGGAGGGGACCGAAATTTCGGTCCAAAACTTCCAACCCTGATCATCACCAGATATCTAATTTCACAGTTTTTAAAAGTCACATCAATCACCACCTCTTACCATACTTTGCCGCTCTTTACTTCTTTGTCCGTCCGCTTCTATTCATAATCTTGGAAAGTTTAAAAATTAAACCTCGTAGATTTTAGGGTTTATTGGCTTGTCATGTTTTTATTTTTTATTGTTTTCGAAGTTCTATTAGACACCACTATCATATATATACTCGTTTACACGGCTTTGCCCGCTGTCCCTCTTGTTTATTATGATTGGGATTTCAAACATCAGACCTAATCATCATTGGAGTTTCTTTTTTATGTCCCATCAATCGTCGTCACCCTACTCTTTTACATCCTATCGTCACCTCTACTCCTTATTGTTATTGAGATTTTAAAAATCAAACCTATAATTTTCATTGGCATTCTGTTTTATAACTTTTAGATGTTCTATCAACTACTGCCACCCTATTCTTCCTTTCTGGCCAGCCTGTTACCCCTCCATTTTACTATCACTAGGATTTTAAAAATCAAACCTAATAGTTATCGGGTCTTATTTTTATACTAGTTTTTAGAAGTATTGCTAATCACCATTCCCCTACTTAGTTTCCACCCCTTGGCTTTCCCTCTTAGTATAATATAGTACAATTTATTTTTTTATTTTGAATTTTAATGAATCTCCTGTTGTGTTATAGATGGTATTATCTTTTGATACTCCTTATTTTGTTATTCTAAATTTCCATTATTTCCAAATATTATTCCTACCATACTCTCATTTTTTTATTTATTCTCAATTTTATCCTTGTTTTTTTAATTTTAGTTATTTCGAAACTGTATTCCTACTTTGAACTCTAAATTTTCTTTCTCTAATTTTAGAAAATACTCCATTCGTTTCAGATTATAAGACGTTTTGATTTTGGTTAAAGTCAAACTACTTCAAGTTTAACTAAGTTTATAAACAAATATAGTAATATTTATAATATCAAATTAGTTTCATTAAATTAATAATTGAATATATTTTCATAATAAATTTGTCTTGGATTGAAAATATTATTATTTATTTTACAAACTTAGTCAAATTTAAAGCAGTTTGACTTTGACCAAAGTCAAAACGTCTTATAACCTGAAACAGATGGAGTATATATTATGTTTTTATTCTGAATTTTAATCAATCTCATGATGTATAGTGTGTTATTTCAATATTCCTTATATATTATTCCGAGTTTTAATTATTTCTAAATTGTATTCATATTTGAACTCTCATTTTTCTTTTCTAAGTAAATTCAAAATTTATTTTATTCATACTTTTAATTAATATCGTGTTGTGTTCTAGATAGTTTGTTCTTTCAATATTTTTTATTTATATTCTAAATTTTAGTTAATTTTAAATTATATTTTTACTTGAACTCTATTTTTTTAATTTTTTCCTGTTTAATGTGGGACTTTCTAGCCTTCACAACAAACGCGATATCTACTTTCAAGGCTGTCTTAATAATAGAACTAGGGAATTGCCATGTGAAGTTTTGCATGGAACTAGTTGGATTTTACATACAACTCTGAATTTTTATTTCTATAGGTATCATTATATATATATATATATATATATATATATATATATATATATATATATATATATATATATATATATGTGTGTGTGTGTGTGTGTGTGTGTGTGTGTGTATGTGTGTGTGTATGTATATATTATATTACAACTCTTAGATTTTTTATATAAGGTCTGGATTTCATATACAACTATTAGATTATATTTCTTTAAGTTTAGATCATTTTCTTTTTCTTCTATTAATGTGAGAATTTCTAACCTCCACATTAAACGTAATATCTTCTTTTAAGGTTGTCTTAATAATATAATTGATAGATAGATGATATATGAATCAGGGATATATATATATATATAGTTATATATAGTAAATTTGTTTGGTGCTCCATATATGTATATATATGTATACATATATGTATATATACATATATATACATACATACATATACATATATATACATATATATACATATATACATATATATACATATATACATATACATACATACGTATATATACATACATACATATATAGATATATATATATATATATATATATATATAGTTGGATGATGACAACATTAATTAATTAATTAATGAATGAGCATCATGTATACCAGTTTTTATCGGCTATGAAGGCGTAGCTGCAGGGGCTGTAATCCCACGCACTATTTGTAGTGTCGTTGTGGCCATCGACTCCCCAGGTGACGTTCAAGAAGCTGAGCTCCGGCGTGAGTTCAGTCTGGCAGCAGCCGAGGCCACTGCACGGCGAGCCATCGGGTGCGGCCTTTTGTACATCCCCACCGCAGTAGGAGATGCAGCCGGTAAAGTAGGTCATATCTTCCTTGCCTATAATCATCGCCAGGGTGTTGCAGCCGATGGCCGTGAACTTGTTGCCTGTCGTCGAGATGAGGAAAGGCGAGCCGGCGAGGTCGAATGACATGGTGAATTGTTGGGAGGTGTTGGGCGAGCTATAGCAGATATACGGCACGGCTGTGTAGCTGGCGTTCAACACGCCTTCCTCCAGCACGATACCGGTGATCTCATAGTCACCCCTGAAGGGCCTTGGTGGGTTGTAGCTATCATTGCATACGACGGTGAAGTCGTCGCCTGCCGGCCCTAGCAAGGAACAATTGTTGCCAATGCCAAATGGGTAGGGGATAGCTATATTGCCGCACGTTTCTGGGCAATCCGCCGGCGGATGCTGCATCAACTGCGCCTCAGCGGTGTGCAGGAGGCATAGCAGAAGCAGACAGACGCCAATCAACATGCAGCGCTCCAGCTCCACTACTCGCTTATTTGTTGCCATGGCCACTAAGCTAGCATATCACTGAGACTTAGTACTTCTTAGCATATAGGAGTACATGCATATGTATGTCTATATATAGCACGCGGCACGTCGTTGGAGTAAAATTAATAAACGAGACAAACGACGACTTCAATTCATTGACCCGGCCCAACAGGCACGATCATACTCCCTCCATACTCATAAAGAAAGTCGTTTAGGACAATGTTTAAGTCAAACCTTAGGAATATAAATCATGAATAACTCTCAAGTTGTTGAGTTTGAAAATGTAAAAATTATATGTATAGATTTGTGTTGAAAAACACTTTCATAAAAATGTACATATATCATTTTTCAATAAGTATTTTTATAGAAATAAGAAGTCAAAATTATGTTTTAGAGACCGTGTCGATGTCCTAAACGACTTCTTTTACGAGTATGGAGGGAGTATCGATTTAATTAATTACTTAATTAGGGCATGCATATGGCTATTTAATTTGTAGCACTGAAAATGGGTGGTAGCTAGAGAAGAGAATCTCGATGCGAATTCTAGTAGTACAGCTATTGATTATTAATTAGTACTACGAAATTAAATAAACGGTCTGTCCGATTTTTTTAATCTAAACACATGCAGCCCTTTTATTACGTATTTGAGCACACCATATTCGTAATTCCATTTCTAACATATACATGCACAAGACCACGTCAATCCCTCGATCTAATGCCTAACAAAATAAATGGACCTTTTTGCAATCTTGTTTCTAGCAACAACGTCCACAAAGTTAGCAGCCCAGTAATGTAAACTTATTTATTTGTAAACTAGTACTCCCTATGTATGACGCCGTTGACTTTTTAACCAACGTTTGACCACTCGTCTTATTAAAAAATTTTATGCAAATATAAAAATACTTATGTCATGCTTAAAGAACATTTAATGATAAATCAAGTCACAATAAAATAAATTATAATTACATAAATTTTTTGAATAAGACGAAAGGTCAAACGTTTGTCAAAAAGTCAACGGCGTCATACATTAAAATACGGAGGGAGTATCAATTTTTTTAGTCTATTACTATATTCAGATTATACTTAAAAAATATGTAATAACGACTTGTAAATGCAAAATAGCATATTTTGAACCATACTTAATAAATATGTCAAACATTAATACAAAGTAACATAACTCAATTCAATGGCCTATTATTTTGTTGGACATTATGTTATTATATATGCAAGTATGCAACAATGCTTGGACATTATGTTATGGAATAACACCTGCACTCGAGCATCTTGTCTACATATTGAAATATGGGTTTGGCGTGTTTATATTTAGAATTAAACTGATGCATGTGCTTACATGTAAAAAAATCAGAATAAATATACTGGGATCAATTATACCTTAAAGCGCCGCTGTACCCCTCGCACCCAGCCCACGCGAAAATCCGGCAACATACAATTTTCTTTTTGAAACTTTTGCTTAGAGTATATTATATTTTTTTTCTGGGGAACAATGCAAGGCTACCTATTCCTGCTGTTTATAATTTGGCTTATAGTTAGGCCGTGTTTAGTTCCATTTTAGTATTTTTAAGTATATATACACACATTTAAAGTATTAAACGTAGACTAATAACAAAACAGATTACAGATTCCGCCTGTAAACTGCGAGACGAATCTATTAAGCCTAATTAATTCATCATTAGCAAATGTTTACTGTAGCACCACATTATCAAAACATGGCGTAATTAGGTTCAAAAGATTCGAATCGCAATTTACATGCAAACTGTGCAATTGGTTTTTTTCCACATTTAATGCTCCATGCATATGTCCAAATATTTGATGTGACGGAAAAGTTGAAAGTTTGAAGGGAACAAAAACAGCCTTAGTTCATTTGTGCATGCCAAATTATTTTGGAATAGATGGTGCAATTATCTTATGATTTGGTTGGAATCAATTCAGTTTACATGTGTAGGAATTTGTGATCCAATAGATGGTTCCATGTAAATTGGAGGGTGGCTTTATCATTTGATCATGTGAGGGAGTTAAAGTTGCTTGATGTCAGTCTGAAAAGCAGAAGCAGAGCAGGAGTCAGATGCATGCAAATTTGGAGATCCTTGAGGAGTTCGTGTTGCTGACCGAGACAAATTTGGGTGCAGCTGTGTCCCGCGTGCGTGCGTTATAGAGTTTTGGCGTCGGTTGGCAGGAGATGGGAACCGGTGAATTAGCGCGTCCGGCGCTAAAGATAATAATGGATTTTTGTTAGTTTATTTTCTTGTTTATTCTGTGGGGGGCCATTATTATTTTGCCGACATATATATCGGTAACAGTAGAACGGGAGAATCCGAACAATTATCAATCACTATTCATCTTCTTTTGTTTTAGTTATTTTCTATTTCATTTTCGTATCTGAGTTCTAGCAGCTTTGGAATTTGGTTAATCTTTACCGTTTTGCGCTGAAAAACGGTCGTGCTTCTCCACGAAAGCGAGGAGATTATCCTTTACTAGTTTGCTCGGAAACTAGTCGTTCGTCGTCACGTAAGTACGATATTTATCCTTTTTACTAATTTGCTTGTAAATTAGTCGCTTGATTCCGTGAAAGTGAATTAATTTTAAAATCGGTTCCGCTAGCCGGTTTTGATTTATCGATTTTGACAACTTCAGTTGATTACACCGTAAATTGTTAGGTAATCTTATGTTGACAAAAAAAAAAAAAGCGTGGCGACTTCGCTGGGGAGAGAATTTCGGTCCTCTGTATGACCGAAATCAATATACTGTTTTAGCGTCGGTTGCCGAATTAATCAATTCGGCGGCAGTGATTGGCCATCACGCGCCCGTAGGTCAAGGATTAGGAGGAAGCTAATCTACTCTACGGTATCAATTCACGAAGAGTACAGGCACTGCACAACACCAGGTCAGAGGAGCCGTGCTGCTGTGAAGTGTGCAGCGCACGCGAACAGAGGCGAGGGGAGGAGACTCTCGATCGGTAAGTGCAAGTTAATATCTTACCGATCAAGCTTCTGTGCTGAGATGGATGCGTACCGGATTGCTACATGGTCACCTTAATTACTACGTCAATTGTGATGTAGAATTTACAAATACAATACCTAATTCTCCAAATAGTTTTACATGTGCCACGGATTCTCATATAGATGTTGCTAGCCCTATTTTCAATGGATACACTGTATCGGCTAATGATAGTTCAAATAATTATTTGAGATCTTTAAATTATGAATGTAACATGCATGTCACAGCCTATGCAAAGTTAATTCACATGCTTTAAATTTTAACAATGCTATCAATATACAATATGCACACACCTTTTAATTGATCGGCAATTATTTCACAACCTATTGTTACACAACAAATTTTGCCGATGAAAGATATGTATGGCCATGGCAATATTAATTATACAGTTGATTCTATTAATTCATTGCATGTCATGCCAAGTATCGGTCAGTCACATGTTACATCTCAGTCTTATGGGCCAACTTATATAATATCTAGTGAAAATAATTCGGCTTCGTATGCTAGCAATGATTATAGCCGAATTAATAGGACTTCCATTAGTGATTTTGTACTCCCACATAGTTTGTCATCTTCAAAATGTCATTCAAATAGTACTATGTATATGGTCGAACACGCACAGAGTTCAAATGTTGTAAATTCGGCTGGGGGGCAAACTGAAATACACATGTCAGAAACTACCAACATTGATCAAGAGCATAGTTTCAATCTCGACAATAACACAGTCACACTAGATGATTTGTCTGAGGACCAACGGCGTGAGTTAGAGCAGGAGCTCGAGGTAGAAATAGTAGAGCTAAGGAAACAAAAATTGACACGCTTGCAGAAGACAAAGAATAGTGTTATAGGAAAACAATGAAAGCCGATAAATTTAGAATTATCGGCTAATAAAAAGGAGGTAGCTATGTTTGATTTTTCTAGAAACATGGGACTTTTTGTTTTGCCAGCTGAATTTCGTGCCAAGGAAGTTGATGAACATCTAGATAACGAAGCACAAGGTCTTGAGAACAATGAGGAGATGTTGGAGGGCCATCATATACCTAACCAAGATGATGTTCAAATGAAAAAAATCACCATGTCTCTCCAACACATCAGATCAGGCAAAGTCTGTAGGTACTGTAATTATTTCCCAATTTGATCATTTATTAGAAAATAATACCTGCATTAGTAATATCATCACGAATAACTCTAAGCGAACGATTAGGGAGATTAATATTCTTATTGGTAATAATAAAGTGTTTAAATTTTCTATATCATCATTGCCAAAGTTTATGTCTGCATGGTTTGCTTATGATCAATCTAGAGCTAGAGGCACAAAACTAAAATTGGAAAATATTAATGAGGTTGATTCTACTATAGTGGATAGTTCTAAATCATCGGACATGGGAAATTTAAGCAACTGTGTAGCCGAATGGGTAGATAGCAAATCTGAACCATTCGTTTGCTTAGCTTTAAAACTGCCTACACAAAAGTGCCAGTCATAGGAGAGGAAGTATACTTTTGATTTCACCATGTGTGATCATATTTTTGATGCCTTGTTGGAAAATAATTATATTAAATTACTTGGTCACCATGTTACGCCATCACTTCAGGATTTAAAAGAACGAATTTATTGTAAGCGGCACAATTCGTTCGATCATTGTACTAGAGATTTTAATATATTTTGTCAGAAAAAACAATCGGCTATTAATGAAGGCCGATTACATTTTGCAACTCCGAGAAAGTCACACACTAAGGATAACATTTTTGATAAAAGAAATCGGTCTAGGTGGTCTAGTAGGAAGAAGTCTTCGACACAGGCGGGAGGTAGTTCAAGAAAGCAAATCTGGGTGCCGAAGTCTAGAGGTCAAGAAAAGGTCTTAGCTACTGGTAAATGTGAGAGTGTACAAAAGGCTTCAGTTCAGAAAAAAGATTATTGAACCTGGGGGGCATGCACGTGTACAACGGCTAGAAAATTTACACTATGTGAGTATGAAGCGGGAGTCATCTTTGGCAAAGTTGGTAGCAAATCAGAATCTGCCGAAGAGCTCAGGAG